CTTATTAGGTAAGCTATTATAATAAAAAAAATAATAATATGAACTTTAATTTTTATGGGAGGAAAATTATTTCCAAAAAAAAATAATATATATATATATAACATTTAGAAATAATTTTTTTTTTTTAATCTAGTGTTTGGAATTGGAAAGACCACTTCCGTACGCATACATTTTCAAATGGTAATCCTACTGGAAGCAAAATAACCACCCTAAATTTCATAAATGAAGGTGAAGCGTCGATGTTACTTGCCGGATCAAGTATGTAATTTGTATACATTTTTCTTGAGAAATTTTAAATCTTTTTCATTAATTAAAATACATTCATACTCATAAATAAATATATATATACGTGTGTAATTATAGGTGATGGTATAGTACGTATTTATCGTAATTATAGTTCTCCCACAACATCAGAATTGATGACATCATGGCGTGCTTTGCCCGAGATATTACCAAATAATCCAAGATGTGGTCTTGTTGCAGAATGGCAACAATCTCGAGGTACATTATTAGTTGGTGGGGATGTCCGGTCGATTAGAATATGGGATGCAACCCGCGAATTTACAATGAGTGTAAGTTACTACACACTTTTCTATCCTTTCCCTTTTTTTTCTCTTCTATAATATTTAAAATATTTATATTATATATATTTAAATTTTTAGATTTTGCCATCAAGATCAGGATGTTCCATAACTCATATTACTAGTGATTCAGGTGATATTATAGTTGCCGGATTTGCTGATGGTGCAATACGTATGTATGATAGAAGAATTCAGCCAAGGGATTCAATGATAGCCACAAGTAAAGAACATAGAAATATTATAACGAATGTGGTATGGCAAAAGGGAGCTAGTCGTGAATTGGTATCAGGAAGTAAATCCGGAGAAATAAAGATATGGGATATTCGACAAAATCGATCAAAATATACCATAACTAATGAAGCAACAGTTTCCGAGATGAATGCAATGGATTTGCATCATGGAGCAGATATTGTAGCAGGGTAATGTATAAATATTCTTCTTTCCCATAGATGGAAATTTTTGATATTTTAAGAATAATGATTCATTTTATTTTATTTATAGAGTGTACTCAAATCAATTAATTAAAGTCTGGAATACAGCATCGGGAGTGAATCTCTCATCAACACGATATAATGCTGGATTCCTGGGGTGGGGTGCACAAGTTAATTCGGTAGCACTTGCTAATCATCATATGGTGATGGCGGTTGGAGCTACAGATAATTATTTATCAATATATGGAATTTCTCACTAAATAGTATTTTAAAATTTTGGTGTAAGTAAAATTAATATATAAAAAAATTCCATTTTATTTATAGAAATTCATTTTATTATTTATTATATTTTTTTTTCTATTCTTTCTATTCTTCTTGCTATTCTTTATATACTTAAATGGGTATCTATACATAGATATAAATTTGTGGGAAATTTCAATGTAAAATTTTTTTAATAATTAGATTACAAGAAGCAATGTTTCATTACTTTATGAATTTGATGATTAATTTCATTTGTAAATTTTTTTTTTTATTAATTAGCATTTAAAAGATAATTTAAATTATTCTTTGATATTTAGATTTTTATTTTTTTCATCATATATTCAATGTCTTTATAACTTAATTTCAAATACTCTAGAGAAAGTGAATTTTAAATAATGTTTTATTTCTCAAATTGCAAACAATTGGCAAAACCAATTGGCAAAACCAATTGACAAACAATTGACAATACAATTGACAATTGGGCATTTTCTTTAATTCCAATATTATATAAAAATCATTATAAAAATATTTATATAAATACATAAATAATAATATTTCAAAAAAAATTAAAAAAATTATTAAACAATTAATTAATTATTTTTATTTTTTATTAACAAGGATAAGGAATTTTCTCATCTGGTAAACTAGAACCAATACGTTTAAGATTAATATTAGCTAACCAATGACCAGCTTTAATAGAATCTTTAATACTCTTTCCTTGAATGAATTGACTTAAAAATCCACCAACAAAAGTATCACCTGCACCATTAGTATCAACAATTTCTTTTTTATCAATAGGAATAACTGGAATTTCTTCTACTTTACCAGTTTCTTGATATGCAACTATGGTTGGTTCTGAACCTTGAGTAATTATGGCAACTCTAGGAAATTTAGTATTCTCTTTTGGAAATTGTGCCATTTTCAATGCAATTTCTTTAACATCTCTTGTCTAAATAATGAATTATTAATAAATGTAAATGATAAGTAGTAATAATAATAAAATAATTAATGGATTAAGCAGGTTCTTATTTTCTCTCAGAAAATATGAACAGATTAAAAAAGGTGAACTTACCTCCCAATTTTCGGAGATAGCAAATGCTTCAGCTTCTGATTCATTACCAAAAATTATATCCCAATAAGGAACAAGTTCTTTCATGGAATTTTTAAAAGCTGGCACTTGACATAAGAAAGGAGCTGATAAATTTGTCATAAATGGCTAAAAAAATATTTTTTTAAAGTATTTAAAAAATAATAATAAAAAATAATTAAATTATATTTTCAAAAATTTATTAGTATAAAATATAGATTTATATATTAATATTTACCTTGTTATTTTCAGCAGCATGTTTAGCAACTTTCAACATTGAATCAGGAGAAACAGTTAAAAAGAATCCTCCAATATAATAAAATTTTGCATTTTCAACTATTTTCCATTTTTCTGGTAAATCCAAATGTTTAGATTTTTGATAATGATTAGCTGCAGACAAATTTGCTATTAATGATCTATTTTAAATAAAAAAATAATAATTGATAATTAAAAAAAAAAAAATAATAATAATTGATCAATAATTGATAATAATAATTAATAATATTAAAGATAAATATAATTTTCTACCTATTGTAACCAGTAATAATAACAGCACAAGTTCCAGTTGGATGTTCATTATCAACTAAATAATCAACTATCAAACCATCCTTTTCTGCTACTTTACGCATTATATCAGCATACTTATCTTTACCAACACAACCAAAATAAATAGTTGTTTTTGATGGAAGAAGATACTAAAAATGATATATAATTAGAATTAAATATGATTAAAAATTAGAATTAAAAATATGATTAAAAAAATTAGAATTAAAAATATGATTAAAAAATTAGGATTAAAATATAAAATTAATTTTTTTAAAAAAAATGAACCTGAACCGATCGACCAGTATTTTGAGTTGCTCCTCCCGCTACATATTCAACCTTATAATTATTTACTAATTCTTCATATCTAACCAATACAAAATTTATTGTTAATTTATTATGATAATAATAAAAAATATTTATAAAATGTTTATAAAATACATGTATACATACAAAGGTAAATGCACTTCTTCTCCAAGAATAGAATCGTTAGCTTTTAGTCCATACCTTGATAAAAATTATTATTATTATATATATATATGATATGCAATGTATGTATATTTATATATATTATTATATTTCACTTTTTTCTTACTTCTTAAGTAATTCTTCGTCAGCATTGACACAAATATCCAATAAAGGATTTCCCATGCAAAAAAGTTTATATGTTTGCTCACTCATTATTTTTAAATAATAATAA